CTTTGCTGCTAGTTTGCTACTAGCTGGTTTTGAAATCTTAATGTATGGAGCATGTTTAACCCAGGGAATTCCTTGTTACTGAAGCCAGGCAGGATTCAGGAAGATGGCTCATACATGTGGCTACTGAGGACGCCTTTGCAAAAGGTGTTCCCTTCTTCAGCGAAAACACCTAGAGTAAATTCAGAGGTCCATAAAGGAGGTAGAGTTGAGCACTGGCTGTCACTTAATTGGCTTCGTGTCCTGGTGCTGCCCCAAGCTCTACCTGGTGCCAGCGTGGTGTTTGCCAGCTGGTGGCTACTGCAAGTGCTGTGCCAAAACAGGAGGGGAATGCAAGAGGAGTTGGTTGGGCTAGTTGAGATCTTCCCAGAACAGGGTCAGCACAGGAGCTGTGTCTAACACTGGAAAAATGCACAGATTGTCTAGTCTGCAGGAAGGGGGAGAGCTTGTTATTTCTGTGGGCAGCTTTGGAGATGGAGCTGTCAGCTCTGGTGCCATGCTCCAAGAGTCCATATCCACTGGCAGTGTTTGAGGGCTGAAGGCTGCATCTCCCCTTGCTGTGCAGGGAAGGAGTCCAAGGACCATGAGAAGGAAAATGTGAGGCGAATAAAGGAGATTCAGAAGAAGTGCAAAGAGAAGGAGCGAGCCCGGGAGCACAGCCAGCCCAAGCCTGTGAAAGCTCTGTGGAAATCCCAGAAATACGAGAATGTGGAGTCAAAGGTGAAGGCCAGACTGCAGGTGGGTACCCACTGAGCTCTTCTTATGGAGGTGGGATGTCATCTTCTGGGAGTTCAGGTTCTCTACTGCCAACAAGGGAGACTGGCGTGTCTCTCTCATGGTTTTGGCTGGGATAGAGTTGATTTTCTTCATAGAGGCTTGTATGATGCTGTGTTTTGGATTTTTGGTGAAAACAGTGGTGATAACACACCAATGCTTTTAGCTATTGCTGAGCAGTGCTTATACTGAGAGTTTTCTGCTTCTTGTGCTGCCTGGCCAGCGAGGGGGCTGGGAGTGCACAAAAAGCTGAGAGGGGACGCAGCCAGGACAGCTGACCCCAGCTGGCCAGAGGGATGTCCCACACCATGTGGCATCACGATCAGCAATAAAAGCTGGGATAAAGGCAGGGAGGGGGTGATGGTGTTTTTTTTTTCCAAGAAAAGAAAATATCTGATCATCACTGCTTTACTGGAAGTGGCTGAACACCTGCCTGCCGGTGGGAAGTAGCAAATTAATTCCTTGTTTTGCTTTGCTTGCGTGTGTGGCTTTTGCTTTACCTAGTAAAATGTCTTTATCTCAACCCATGAGTTCTTGCACTTCTACCATTCTGGATTTGTTGCCATAAGCAGCCTGGTTTGGCCTTTGCTGGCTGTGATTCGTGTACGGATTGCCTTCTCCCAAGAGCTTCTGCCAAATTGTGGAAGGAAGAGCATGTTATCAGTTGTCAACCGGAAACTCATGGCTGAGCTTGTGGTTGACCACAGCAACTTTGCTCCAGCCTCCTCCAGTAGCCTGTCTCTTCTCGCCTTTCCCAGGAGAGGTCCCCGCCTCCAAATCCAGAGGCTTTGAAGTTCCTGAGGGCGTATTCTCGCTGTGGCCCTGGGATCAAGCCATGCAGACCACTTTCCGCAGACCTTACCAGAATGAAAGCAGGTGCAGGCACAGAGGCTCCAGAGGCACTCAGTGCTGAAACCAAGGTGAGTTGCGAGCTACCTATGGGCTCCCAGGGGTTTCTGTCACTTGTGCGTTGCTCCTGCTTTGTACACTTCATGTGGGGTCAGCTTTAGGACTTCAAAAAGGCGTTGTTTACATTTTGGTTTTTTTTTGGTGCCTGCCTTCTCAAACCATGGCCATAGCTACTGCCTGTCCATGGCTCTGCCTCCTGAGATGGCACAGACAGGGTGCATCCATCCTGTAGTTTAGCATCGCATGCAAGTGATTCTGTGATACCCGTTTGCTTTCTCCCTTACGGGGACAAGGGCAGCTCCCTGTGTGTGCTGAGCCAGCTCCTGCTGCCTCCCCCTTTCTCCTTTCAGCTGCAGGTGGAGGGCAGCAGCATCGACTTCATTAAGCACAACGCCCGCAATGCCAAGCGGGCCCCGCTGCGGCGCTCCCAGTCCCTGCAGGCGATGTCTGAGCTGCTGGAACAGAGGCACCGGGAGCAGGAGGAGTACAACGCCAAGCAAAAGGGCCACGTCCCCCAGTAGTATGTATGCCCCTGGATCCATGAGACTTCCTGCCATGAGCCCACCTCCCAACTTCTGCATGACAGAGGCCTGGGGACCAGGGACCAGTCTCTCGCCATATGCTGGCAGTGTGATTGATTATGGCCTGGGGGAATAAATGCAAAACTTTCTGAATTCTTCATTTAACAAGTATCCCGTGGCCAATGTGACTGGGCTTAGAAAGAATTTTGTCTCCTCCTTCCTTGCTAGCCACTTGCTGGCCACTGTTACAGTGATGCTAACTTGGATGCTCTGTGTGCTCTGAGAAATGTGCTCCTGCCCCTTTGCAGGCCTTGCTTCACGTCATCTTCAGTGTTAAAAGGGTTGTTTTCAGGGGCAGATAGTTTGGTTTGCTTTGCAAGCATTCATCCTGCCGTGGACCCGGAGTCTAAGGAGCACCCAACTATTGACTTTCAGTTCTGGGGCCCCCAATAGCTCCTGGGTGACCCTTTTCTAGGACTGGCCCCTGTATGAGCCCTATGGCTGTTGGCTGTGTCTAACCTTATCTGCCAGCATCCACTTTGTCCTACTTCATTCCATCATTGGCCCATAGGTGTTTTGAGAGGACTCCATGTTCGGGACCAGGAGCGAGGAGCAGAAGCCCTGAGCATATTCCAGCAGAGGGGTGGGGGTGCTGCCAGCCTTGGCTTTGGTAGTCCTCTGGCAGCAACACTGGAGACCAGCGGGGCTCAAAGGGCTCGATCCTTGGGCAGTCGTTCTTGCCAGATGTGCTGACATGGGCTTTCATTTGCCTTGACAGCCTGCTGGAGAGGAAGGAGCTGTGGCGCAGACAGATGGAGGAGCAGCTGCGAAGCCTGCCGGATCCTGACACGCCACCTGGCCACACCATGATGCCGGAGGGCCAGCGGCTGGAGACGCTCAGCAATCTGAAGCAGAGTAAGAGGAAAAGAAGCTCAGGAAAATAGTTAGGATTAGGGGAAAGCAGAGTTCTGGGGCACTGGCTTGCCACCTGATTTCCTGCCACTTGGAGAGATGCTGAAATAAGGCACGTTTCTGGGATTGATCTGTGTGTGTGGAAGGAGCCATCTCCTTCAGCTTGGTGGGAAGTGCAGGTTACAAGGATGGCTCCCTGGAGCAGGCCTGGCCCACGGGACCTGAGCGTAGGGTTACTATTGCTGTTAAAATGAAAGAAAGGTTTTGTTGGAAGGGACCTTCAGAGGTCTCTAGGCCAACCCTTGCTCAAAGCAGAGGTTTCTCAGAACTATGGCTTTGGTCCTTGTCCAGTTGTTTTTTGAAGCCAGGGATGGGTGTTCTCTCAAGGTCTTTGTTCCACTGCTGCCACCGTTTCATGACTGAAAATGATGGTATAGCATTAGGAAAAAGACAAATTCCTTTCCTCTTCCACTCATCCGGATTTATTTATTTTTCTTTCCAGGCCAGGAGCAGCTGATAAAGGACCTGGTGATGCTGCCAGTGCGTGCAGACACCCTCAGCATTCAGAAGAGGCGGGTAGAGCTTGAGAGGAAGCTCTCCCAGATAGAGGAGGCCCTCAAAATTTTTTCAAGGCCCAAGGTCTTCATCAAGCTGGACTCCTGAGCTGTTGGGGCTAGGTGTGTTGTGCTGCTCTGTGCAAGCATCCTTCGTCCCTGGGACTTCCCTGAGAATTTCGGAGGGAAGGAGAAGAACACAGGTTCAGGACTTTGGGCCCATGGGGGTGCCCATACTGTGTTGAACTGTGGTTGGCACCTCTTGCTCTTGCTTCCAGTGCTGTGTCTCAGCCAGGAAAAAGGGAGGGAGATGAGCTCATTTGCTCTGTTGTGCAGTGTGGAGGAACAGTTGCCTCTGTGCTGCTTGACTTCTCACAGAGATCAGCTGTCTGCTCTGAATCCGTGGCACAGATCTCATCACCTCTTCTTTTCCCATCTCTATAAACTCATAGGAGGTCTCCCATGCTCTGCAATTTCTTGTCCCTCTCTTCCTCCGAGGTCATGGCTCATTCTGGGCACTTGCAGACTTGGCTGCACAGAGCAGCCCGACCAGCAGCCGTGCAGAGCCTTGCGCTGTGTGGCTGCCACGTGTGCCCAGAGCCTCTGCACTGACCCATCCCCAGCACGCAGCCCGTGCCTCTGCACCCTCTGACCTGCTGGATGCGCTCAGCAGCTCGAGGACAGCCAAAAGGAACAGAACTCCAGTCCCTCTTACCCATGAAGAGCTGGAGTGGCAGCAGGACGATCTGGTAGGGTATCTGGAGAGGTTTTTGCTGTCTGTGGGTGAAAAGGAGGTAAGGATGTGCTCCAATAAAGCATTGGTTTCCCTCCGCTGGTGTGTGTGCAGCTCCCAGTGGGCTCAACAGAGCCTGAGGGGTGGTGATGGGTGGCAGAAACCAGTAGCATGGATGTGCTGCAACCAGGGGGAGGCCTCCTCACCATCCAATGCCCCATGGGGAGATCAGCAGGCCTATGCAGGGATCCAGCTGCATGAAGTGTAGGAAGATTTGGGGTAGAAGGGATTACTGGAGGGCTCTAGTCCACCTCCTTCCCCAGGAAAGGACAGCTCCAAGGGTGCGGGCCCTGTCCAGCTGGGTTTGGAACATCCCCAGCCATGGGGTTTCCACCACCACTGCACGGGGTGGGGAGCGAATGCTGTATGCAGCTGCCTTGTTGCAGGGGGTAGCTCGATCCCTGAACAGGATTTGGGACTTGCTGGGGCAGTGGGATGTTGTAGGGCAGCCTCGCCCCGTGTCCGCAGCCCTGCAGTGCCCTGGGCTGTCGGGGCTGTTGCTTCTGCCAAGCCCCAAGGAAGCTTTCAGTGCTCAGGGGCTGGAGGGGGCAAGGTGCCAGCTGGAAAATGGCCTCGTGCTCCCATGAGGCTGCTCCTCAGGGCATCGCTGCCGCGAGGCTGAGCTGGCTGGATGAGGGCTGTGCTTAGAGCAGCCCTGGCCCTGCTGTGGGTAGCCTAGGGGCTGTGTGTGCCAGTCCCTGTGCGCTTCCCTGCTGTAAACAAGCCCGGCCTAACCAGCTCTGCTGTCTGGTTTGCTGTCTTGCCTGTCTATGGCCTTGCTTAGTGGCCATGGGGAGCTGCTTCCAGCTCAGCCTTCACCATCCCAGGGGGCTGAAGGTCCTCCTCCTCCTCCCTAGCTGCTGCTAGACCAACGCAGACTAGGGAGGACCAGGTGAGGAGGACCAGCGGGACAGAGAGACGCAGGGAGGTGATGTGCCCCAGCGTCCTTCCAAAACTCCCCACCGTGGCCCTTACCGGGGCCACCCCAAGCAGCAGCAACGCCACAGCACATGCTGGGGGGTTCTGTAGGGTTATTGCTGTCCTGGAGGGGGGAGCAGCACCTCAGGGTGTTTGGGGCCTGGTGCTGACCCCTGCGGAGATGTGAACGATGGACAAAGCAGGGTGCTTTCTATAAAAGGTTTTACTGTCCATTGCAATATATTACTCAGTGATGCGTATTCTGATAAAACAATTAAAAAACCCACTCGTTCAGAAGAAGTGGGGTGGGAGGCGGGGTGCTCAGGTAGGGAGCACCCAGCGGGAGCAGCTGCTGCCGTGGGGACCCAGGGCAGGGGCAGAGGACGGGGGCAGCCCTGCTTGGCCCCCGCCATCCCCCAGGTGCCCACAACCAGTCCAGGCCGTGCCAAAACCCGGCCGGCTGCATAAGGGGCAGCATGGGAGCACGGCCCCGTGGCTATAGGGTGAGCAGGGTGCCGTCCTCCCGCACGCTGCCCCGGCCGGGGCTGCCATCGTGGCTGCCCAGGGACTGCAGGGAGCCCCGCGAGCTGTGCGGGGACGGGCTGGGCAGCAGGGGTCCGTCCGCGGGGCCCCCGTTGGGGCAGCCCCCGGGGATGTAGTGTGGCGCGCTGTCGCTCTCGATGACCAGGTCGCCCTCCTCGTCGCTTTCGGCCGTGCTGTAGTTGCTCAGGTACTGCGAGGCCGGGCTGGGGGTTTGCTGGCTGGGGGTGCTGTCCGTCGACATGCCCGAGCTGCCCGAGGCCTTGCTGCTGCGGATGACGTTGTTGCGCTGGTTGGCCGGCTTGACGGTGATGATGAGGTTGTGGCTGTTGGCCACCATCATGTCCGTCACCTGGTCCAGGGACTTGCCGGCCACGTCGATGCCGTTGACCTCCAGGATCTCGTCGCTCACCGCCAGCAGCCCCGTGCTCTCCGCCAAGCCGCCCTTCACCAGGCGGGAGATGAAGATGCCGGGCACCTTCTCCACCCCCTGCGGGGCCACGCGCACGCTGACGCCGTCGCGGATGTAGAAGCCCAGCGGCTTGTCGGAGCCGTGCTTGTGGAGCCGCACGCGGCGGTGGGTCTCCGGCAGGATGTCCACGTCGATGATGGAGGAGATCTGACGGAAATCCTGGGGCATGCCGATGAGGAGGTGAGGCTTGGCCCGGTAGTGCGCGGGGCGCAGCAGGCCCTTCTTCTTCCGCTGCAAGGAGTTGGAGGCGAAGACGCCGGCATCGGACTCCGCTGTGGGAAACAAAGGGGACGTAGTAAGGCAGTGCCCGGCCAGCTGGCACCGTGACCTCCTGGGGACACGGGTAACCGCGTGTCCTTGGCCCCAGGTGCCTGAGGAATGGGCAGGAGAAGCTCCCTGCTCCCCTCTCACCAGTTTTTCCCCCCCAGATCATCGCCCCCGGCTCTTCCCACAGCTCGTCTCCTCCAGGCCCATCTCCTGTCCCAGGATTACCCAGCGTACACACAGCCGGGATTAGTGGGATCGAGGCAGTGATTCAGCCTTAATCACGCTTTAAGCCAAACTCTGCAGCTTAACACTGGAGCTGCTGGCTCTAACAGCCCAGGAGCTGGGGACCTGCCCTGGTTTGGCTTTGGGGAGAGGGAATCCAGGCGTCAGCTCTCCCAGTATGACCGGGGGATGTGACAGCACCCAAGTCCCCTGTCCTTGTTGGAGCCGCACCTCTCTCTCGTTTCATCATCACCAGACAGAGGTTGGCTCCATCCCCCTCAACCGTGCCCTGGGTGACCACCCTGTGGCTGCTCTGTGGGTCCCAGCTCCACCACATCACCCCTTGGCCGTGTCCCATGGATGCCAGGGAACATCCCCTGGGCCCTCTCTGGTTTCTCCCCATCCGTTTTCATGGGGGAAGCCCAGATCTGCACATTGCGTTGCCAGCACGTCCCTCCAGCTCTGCTCAGGGGGTGACAGCATCCTCAAGCTGCTGGCCGCGCTCTTCCTCCTCGCCAGGCCCATGAAATGCTTCATTTGCCAGGAGAGCAATTGCTGGCTTGGATTCAGCCTGGCCCCAGCAGCACCCACCCCAGCCAAGCAGCCCCAGCCCATGCCAGTGGCCAGCACTGCAGCAAAGCACCCTGCTCCAAAACCATCTCCAGAAGGTGCTAATGGGAACGGAGAGCCTGGCCCCGGTGACACAGCAAGGGGAAGGCAGCAGAAACCCCGTGCCACCCAGGTGCAGCACCCACAGAGGGGGTACCATGCTCCAGGTGCCCCCCAGCAGCACCCAGACCCCGTTCCAGCCACAGGGGCGCTGGGGACACCCTGCACCCAGGGGACGCGGGGTTTCTCCCAGGACAAGCCAGCCTGCCAGGGCTCCTGGGTTATAAATATCTCACTGCCTGGCTTATTTTTAGCTCGGGGAAGGGCGGCGGAGGCTTTCCCACAGCTATTTCAGCATGCAGCTCCTCTCCGAGGGGTGCGGAGCAGCCACACCGGGCAGGTCAGCACCCTGCAGACAAGCCCTGGGGACGCGCAGGGCTGTGTCCTGCCCTTCCAGCCCGCCCCAGGCCATGCTTAGCCGGGGAGGGGAGCTGTCCCCAGCCAGGCTGACGGCACTGCTGGGACATCTCCACCACCTCTGCGCGTGAGTCTGGCCCAGGAGGCACCCGAAGGGGTGACGGCTCTCTCGCAGCATTTGCTTTTTGAGCCCCTGCTGCAGGACTGGCTGCTCCCGAGCCCCCCAGCAGGTACATACACACATGTATGTGCACACGCGTGTGCGTACTTCCCACACTCAACATGTGAGAGAGGCTCTGCAGCCGCCTTCCCCACCAACCTGGACTGGTTTGACTACAGCCCAGCCCTGGGATGACCTGGATCCATTTTAAATCAGCTGTGACTCACCCGGGGCTTGCTCCCAGCCTCTCCACAGCCCCTCTGCTGCGGGCACAGCCGGGAGCCAGAGCCCGTGGCACTGCCTCCCTGCCCTCCTCATCGCACTGCCCATGGTGCATGGCCACGGACAGCTGCTCCCCGCACTGTGCCAGCTCAGCACGCTCACCCATGGACCCTCACGGACTTTTCCCAGCAGGAGAGGCAGCTCTGGAAGAGGAGCGATGCTCCCACGGAGCACCCCATGGGCTCTGCTCCAACCCAGTCACCAGCCTGGATGGCCTCTGCTGGCCGCGTGCCATATTGCCACTGTGGGAAACAAGTTTAGGGCATCCACCACCAGCAAGGGGCCAGGAAAACCCGGCTCAGCGGCAGGGGCAGGCTGCTGAGACCCAGCACAGCGTCACCCCTCGCCCAGGGGCTTTGCACCAACAGCATGAGCAAGAGCCAGCGGGATGCTCCAGGCACCGCGCCAGGGACACGGGGACTTTTGGAGCAGGCTCCACCTTCGTGCACTTCTGCTTAATGCTAAAAAGCCTCGGTGCTATTAACTGAGCAGGAGGGGACCTCGCAAGGAGGGCTTGTGTCCATCTCCCCGGCAAAGAGGTGACATACACGAGGCATTTGTCACCGGGAGGCTCTCCAGGTGTGCGCTCCTGCAGCCAGGAAGGGGGCGAGCCCCTTCCCCTTGCAAAGCCCCCGGTGCTGCCCCAAGAGCCCTGACAGCGCGGTGGCTTCCCCACCTTGGGGCAGGGTGATAGATGGGCTCCATCAGCAGCTACTCTGTTTTTGGGGAGCCCACAGAAGCCCAGCTGGAAATGCAACCTCAAAGGGACAAAGCATGAGGATCCCTTTGCTGTCTGGGCTGGGTGGCAGCGGTGTCACCTCCTCCCGAGTGGCAGGAGGGAACAGAGCCAGCCCCGCGGCCAACCCAAGAGCCATGGGCTGCTTTTTGCCCTGCTCATCTCTTTTCACCGAGGGGACGGATCCAGCGCCCTTCTCCGGCTGCTACTGACCCTTTTTCTGGATGATGACCCTGAGCAGGGGGTTGGCGGAGGACAGGGCCTTGTGGTAGTTGTCGTCGTTGTTGATGGGCAGCAGGTCGCCGTGCACGTCCGTGTAGCCCAGCAGCACGTCCACGCGCGGGATCTGGTGCACGCTCTGCAGCAGGCGGTAGAAGTCCTGGAAGGTGCCCACGCTGGAGCGCTTGATGGCGAAACGGCGAAACTCGGCATCGAACTGCGGGGCAGGGGGAGGAAGAGGAGGGAAAGGTGCTCGAGGAAGGCTCAGCGGGACCTGTCATTAACAGGGCTCTGATTTGGGGACAGGGCAATGGCTGAGCCCCTATCCCCACGGGGGGACCGTGACACCGGGAGGCCGTGCCGGTGACATGTGTGCTGCTGTAGCACACGGCGAGCAGCAGCGTTAATTACAGCGCTAATTAATTACCGCCTCCTTCGGTCACGACAAACGCGAAGCCGATTAATGACGGGAGGCAGCGGGAGGGACGGCCCCGCACCTGCGGGACGGGGGCACCCGGGGGGAGGAGAGCACCGGGGCTGCGGGACCGGGGACCCGGGCGCATCCCGGCGCTGCTCCCACCGCCTGCACCGGCGGCTCCGGCCCCGCGCGGGGATTCCGCAGCGGCCGCGCCGGGCTCGGGGCAGCGCCGCTGCAGCACCGGGAGCATCAGCGACACCCAACGCGCGGCACCGGTACCGGCACCGGCAGCGGCACCGGCAGCGGCAGCAGCGGTCCCGGTGCCGGCGCTTACCTTGCTCTTGACCTCGATGACGGGCTCGGCGGAGCGCGCCGGGGTGCGGTGGTGCTTGGCCATGCTGCGCCGCCAGCGCTCCCGCGGCCACCGGGGGCTTTTCAGCGGCCGTGACGTCACCGGCAGCCGGCCCGGCGGCGCCGCGCCATTGGCCCGGGCGGGGCGCGGGGGCGGGGCGAGGCGCGAGGCCGGGGCGGGGGGAGCGGGGCGCTGACAACGTCGCCATGGCAACGGCACCGCCAGCGGGGCGAGGCCCGGGCACGGGCACGGGCACGGCACCCGGGGAGAGGGGATCCGGGGCTGGGGGGGGGTCCCGGCCCCGTGCCCCCCCCAGAGCTGCCCCCGGTTGATCTTTGCCCCCCGCACAGCCCCCTCCGGTAATTAACGGGCGATTTTAGCCCCCGGTTTAACTCTGAGCTTTTTTTTTATTTATTAATTCATTTATTTATTCATTATTTATTCACTTATTTATCTATTTATTTATCCATTTATCTATCTCTTTGTTTATTTATCCGTTTATTTATTTATTTTGCTCTCAGGCTCCCCGCGCTGAGGCCAGGCCGCTAATCCCGCTGACCTCAGGGCTGACGTTCACGCAGCCGCCCGGTGACGGAGGCCGCCCGGCCGCCCTCCAGCTCGGATTTAGGCCAAACCGGGAGCCAATTACCGGGAGTTAATTGCGGTAAGGGCCGCGCTCCCGTCCCGAGCGCTGCCCCCGCACCCGCGGCCGCGGAGCAAGCCCCGAGATGAGGCATCAGGGCCGCGGCCAGTGCTCGTTGTCGCTCCGGGAGCTGTGAGCCGCCGCCTTTCCCCCCCCTTGGCGGCGCACGGAGCCCCCCGGCCCCGCTCCGTGCCCCCGGGGCCCCCGCCCCGGCCTCGCCCCCACGGCCCCGCACGGGCGGGAGGGGAGGGGGGGGGGGGGGGGGGGGCGGGAGGAGCGGTCGCCATGGCAACGCGGAGCCCCGCCCCCTCCCCTCCCTCCCATTGGCCCACGTGTCCTCCTCTCCCCCTCTTGTCAGCCAATCGGCTGCGGCCAACGAGCCGGGGACGGAGGGCGGGGCGAGGCGGGGGGTATAAAAGGGGCGGGCGGCGGCGGGCGCCGCCTCAGGTGCGCGTCATGGCGGAGCGGCCGCGGGTCTCGCTGCTGGTGCGCAGCCCCGCGCGGCGCCACCCCGACCTGCGCCTCAGCGCCGAGCCCGCATGGACCTGTGCGGCGCCTCAAGGCCGAGCTGCGCCGCATCGTGCCCGGGGAGCCGGTGAGGGTCTGAGGGTCGCGGGGCGGGGACGGGGGGCACTCGGCTGACGCAAGGCCTGGGCGCGGTTGCGGCGGGCCCTGCTCCCGTCAGGGCCCTGCGGTGACCGGGCCGGCCCCTGGTAAACGGTAACGCCGCGGGGGTGCTGCTGGCCTGGGGCTGCTGCGGCCGAGCAAAAAAATAATCCTGTGTTTCCTTCTCCTTCCAAGCCCGAGGAGGAGCAGAAGCTGATTTATTGTGGGAAGCTGCTGCTTGATCATCAGCATCTCGAGGACTTCCTGCCACAGGTACAAAAATATTTTATTTTTTGTTGTGCTGATGTGTGCCAAGCGTGTCACAAGAGATTCAATTTTCCATGTACTTATTCTTTAGCAGGAGGAGTTGCACTGCTCTTCATTTGGTGTACAACCTCAAGGCTCCCGTGAATGTGCAAGAAACCAGCTCAGAGGTACTAAGCTACTGCCCTGCTTTGAGTCTTTGGGCTGTAGAAGTTTGTTGATATTGCAGGTGTTTCCTGCTAATGCATTGGCAGTATTGCTGGTGATTAGATGGGTTTCGAGTGTGAGAACGTATTTGGATCAAGCTCAAAAATAACTTGTGGTTTGTTGGTAAAGATCAGGATTGCACCTGTTAAGAAATATCTCAATTGTAGTCTAGCTGTAACAATAGTGCTTAGAGGGAAACTGCTTTTTGGTAAACTGTTTTGTTAAGTAGAATGTGACCTGTCATATCCTGGTCTCTTTTGTAAGGAGGCTTTTTGTGGACAGAAGATATAGTTAATAGAAATAGAATTAATAGAAACAGAAAATAGGTTCTGATTGCTCTATCAGTGTGTGGGGAAGGAAGACTGTTAGGTTGAAGACACTCTTAACTGTTCATGACTCTTCCTTTAGAGGAAGCTCAAGATAAACATTCGTAATTGATCTGAGTACTTAGAGTCTTAAGTGCAAATGTAGAAACTCATTTTTATTTTCAAGTATCTTGAAGTGTTTGTTGCCCAATATAGACATTTGAACTTACCTTACCCATGTTTGGAGCTTGCCAGTTGTGAGTCACCCTTTGTCTGAATATTACACAGATGTATCACTGCAGAACAGCTCTTGAATTACATCTGTGTACAGTAAATGTGTAAGCAAGCAGAAACTCTAGTAGCTAAAATTGAAGTGCACTTCTTCAGTGCACTTCTGACGGTTTTTTTTCCAGTTCTTTAATCCCCAGAGGGGACTTGACTGTTGGCAAAAACTGAAAATACACAGTAATACGCAGTAAATATGGTACTGCAATGGCACCTGGAGGCACCTGGTGCAGAAAGTGCATGAACTGTGTAATGGTGCTTCTAAATTAAGAGCTGTGTTCAGTGTGAGGTAGCCTTTTTGCATAAGACGTTAATAGTAATTCATCACTAGAATAGTAATTCATCACTAACTGTGTTGATGTCTCTAGGTTAAAACTGGTCAGCCAAGGCTCATGTCAGAAGCTAGTCAAGAACCAGCTGCATCTTCCTCAGATGGCGGAAGACTGAGATGTTCTTCAGGTGGACAGGCTTCAGCGGAAGCCAATACTAGGTGAACACATCACTAAGATCTTTAAAATATGGACCTTTCTGGGGCAGACTAGCCCCTTATGCCATGTCTCAAGACAAGGACAATGGAATATAGGCCAAAGGTCATAAGGGTGTATGAGCTTTAGTGGGCATGGAGGAATTCAAAGGAAAATGCCCTACTAGGTAGAGGAAAATCTTCCTTTTATTCATTTGGGTAGAGAGAGATGGCTATAATGCAAAGGAAGAATTCATTTTGTTTCAGTGCACTGAAATGGTAAAAGCTATTTACACATGTCCTGTAATAAGTAACTGTCTTGTGCAGTATTTGTTAACAAGTGTTTGTTTTGAACAGACCTGAAACAGCTCCGAATCCTTTCCAGACTGTGGCCCCAGGGTTTTCTGCTTATACGACCTATAGCATGCTTCAGATGTCCTGGCTTCAGCAGATTTACGCAAGACAATATTACATGCAATAGTAAGTCTTTGTGAAGCTACTGGTAAAAAGCAGAAACTGTAATACAAGGAAATGGAGAACTTCTTGTAGTCCTTCCTCTTTTGGTTTAGTGTGGTCAGACTTTTTCTGTTGGACTTTGCACTCTGTGGTGTGGAAATGCAGCTCTGTCATCTGGTGTTTGGCTTACTCTTTAGGCTAGTGATTTGAATCTTGCAAATGGCAGATCTCTGCCTGCCTTGACTGGGAGCAGGCATCTCTAGAGTAAATCTAATTCTGCTGATAAGCCTTAGATCCTTACAAACTTTTTTGACATTTTAAATTATCCTCCAAACTGGAAATCCTTGGCGCATGTAAGACAATCGTGGCAGCCTTCCAGAATACTTTAGATTGCTCCAGAAAATTTTATGAAGTGTTGAAGTTGCTAAAGTGAAGGCGTGTGGTTTGATTTGAAGTAGTCTTGTAACTGTTTGTCATAGGCAGAGCCCAAACTTGTGTTTTTAACCCGTGGGGTCTCTGTACTTGCCACTTGTGTGTGACCTGACTTTGTAGTTCTGTACTCTGAAGATGGACAAGTTTTCGGTGTCTGTTTCACATGATGGGATTTGAGTTAAGCCTTACTCTTTCTGGTTTTCAGCTTGGCCTCTACTGCTGCATCTGCTGACCAGTCTCACCCACGACGTTCTCAGGAGATACCAGTGGCACAAGTGACACCCCCAGCTCCTCTCCCAGATCCGTTTCCTGCACAAAATCAACCTGGAAACCAGAATGCTGCTCCACAGGTTAATGCAGCAGCCAACCAGAACTTAAGGATGAATGCCCAAGGGGGGCCCCTCATGGAAGAAGAGGAGGAGGGTGGCAATCGGGATTGGTTGGACTGGCTCTACTCTGCAACGCTGTTCTATGTTTTTGTCAACATCATCTATTTCTACTCCAGTATCAGCAGATTCCTCCTGGTTATGGGCGGCACTGTTCTGATGTATCTGTAAGTGCATGGTGTTGATCTCTAGCATTGTCAGAAATGTTTCAGAGAAGTGCTGTGCTCTGCAGGGTGGTGTGAGCTTTCTGGTCTTTGAGCTTAGAGAACTCTTACACCTAGAGAAGATGAACTGCACATCTCATCCTGGTGTTTAGCAAAAATACAACTTCGGTCTATGGGTTCCAAGAAGAATGAATAGGTGACAGTGGAGCCTCTCACCCTTCTTTTGTAGTATAGCTGTTGTAGTTGACTTGCCTTTTTAGAAAACTGTTGGAAACAAAGAAAAGGTTTTTCTGCTGTGTTGCCTTTCAGAAGAAAAGACAAAAGCAAAGGAAATTCAGTGCCCTAAGTTGCTTTTGAGCCTCTAGAGGGGGAAGAAAGTTGGGATAAATCTTTTACAAGTAAAATAAAGATAACAGGCCCTCTGAAATGTTTGGGATGTCTGAGAGATGATCTGTCCGCCTTGTAAATTTTTACCACCAGTGAGACAAGCGATCTAGACCTACAGATGGAATTCAGAGGCCTGTCAGTTCAGACTGGAGCAGATCAAATGCTCAGCTCTTCCAATCTCTATGCAGGTTTGGAGGGGGAAGACGGATTGCAACATTACAAGTCCTTAAATTTACTGTTGATAATCCTAAAATGCAACTTTAAACAACTTAGTTTGGGTTACAAGCTGTAGGCACTGCAGAGATGCTAACTTTTTAAGTAGGTCTGCATGGCCTGCTGTGTTTTGGTTACATGGTGCCATTTCTCCTGTTCTTTGTGCCCTTTAGGATCAGAGAAGGTACCCAGGGGTACACATAACGTGGTTAAGATGCAGGTTCCAGTTCTGTACCTGTAGCAGCACTTTCCAGCAGGCTTCGTCCTGATTACACAGTTATAAACCTAGGTGCAGTGCTGCTTATTTTGAATGCTAGCAGGTGTTTAGCTGTGTCATCCTATTCCATGGTTTGCCTGCTATTAGGAGA